CGGATCGCTGCAACAGGAAGCGGAGGAACCAGAGGGGGAGGACGAGGCTGTGACGGCGGCGGAGGAGGAGCCGGGGGTCTGGGGGCACCTGCTGGCTGGGCGGATGGAGCGCAGAGCCGAAGCCGGGCCACCGACGTTCCGAAAGCGCGCGGGAGGGTCCTCCTTCTCCGGCGGGGGAGTCAAGAGGGATCTGGCGGTGACGTGAGACCTGCAGGTCGCTGCTCTTGTTTAGCTGTTGTTGTTTGTTTAAATCATTATCCACTTCTCCCCTCCCCTCAATAGGACAGCTCATCCAATCAATTTATCGAGTACCTACTAAGTGCTTGCGGCCTGACTAGGCATTGTGGGGGATGTAAGACATCGTTCTCGCCCGTGTGCTTGAATTTAGGTCGTGAAACAGGAACTGATGAGCAGGAAAGGGCTCAGGCCTGAGAATTAGAAGTTACAGTATTCCAATGTCAGCCCTGTCACCAACTTGGCAGTAAAGCATAATAAGGCTTGAGAGTGAACCTTGCTTGGTATGTCTTTGGGCAAGTTACTTTTCTGTTGCCTCCCTTTCCTCGATTCTTAGAATGGGGATAGTAATAACACTTATCTCATAAGGTTATTTTGAGAATTTTTAAATATTACGTATGTAAAGTGCTTTGAACAATGACTGGCACATGGAAGTCACTACATAAATGCCAACTGTTGTATTTCACGTTGGGTAAATCCTTTTCTTCTCTGGTTCTATTTTAATACTGAGCAGAGTAAGTTTGAGGGATAAGAATGGAGGCTTGAATGGGATAAAGACGGTGTCTGCCTTGATTTATCAGGACAGGCAATCCTGGGTGCTGAGGAACCTAGACAATCTCAAAAGGAGAAGACCGTTAGCAGAGATGTGAGTGTTTAGACCATGCCCGGGGAATAGTAAATATTGTAGTTTTGGTCATTTATCTTACCAACCCTTCAAAGGCAAAGGCACTGGTTTCATCTTTGTTTCCGTAGGACCTAGCATGAGGCAGGTACAATAAATGTTTGTATGTTGAATTAATGTGAAATGAGTCTGGAAAACTATCTTGGAAGCATATCACAGTTCCTAAAGTGTGTTGATCATCTGTGCCACTTGGGAAGTGTTTTCAAATACCTTGTGCAGGCTGTACCTTGAATATTATGATTTAGTAGGTTTGGTATAGGGTTCAAGGATCTGTATTTTTTAAACCTGCCCAGAAGTCATTCAGATGATCACATTTGATAACCATTGCTGTTAGAGTCTTTAAATGCCTATGATGCCAGCCTAAGATGCCAGGCTGAGATACCTTATGTGGAAGCCCATGATGTTATTGAACAAGAGAATCATATTATCATGCTCTCCAAGCTCTTGCTACTCAAAGTGTGGTCTATGGACCAGCAAAATCTGCATCACCTTAGAGTTCATCAGAGACTCAGAATCTCAGAACCTAACCTCAGACCTACCAAACAACATCTGCATTTTAACAAGTTCCCCAGTGATTCTTATACACATTTGGGCCGTAGTTCTTAACCTTGATAGCATGGTAGAATCACTTGGGAACTATTTAAAATCCTAATACCCAGGCCACACTCTGAAAAAAGTAAATCAGAATCTCTGTGTTGATATCAATCATTTTAAAAGTTCCCTGGGTGATTCCAATGTGCAACCAAAGTTAAGAACCCCAGCTCTAGCAATACTCAATTAAAATCAGTGTAAGATGAATTGGAGAAGGCCTGTTACACATGTGTTGGGATAGACTGGATAACAGGTAATGATAGTCTGGATAAGTAAAACATGGAAGGATCCACTTCACTGAATGGAGAGTATGCAGAGCTCAACCTCTTCCCCCATTTGTTTTTGTTGCAGTATTTTTTTTTTCTAGCATCTGATTCTGGACTTTCTTCCTGCTGCCATCGTTTCCCACGAAAGAACAGAGTACTAAAGTCTTCAGGAGTCTAAAGGCTGAGGGGGCAAGGAAGGAGCCAGTTCTTCCTAAAATATTGGGCCTTTATCCTAGGGTGACGGGGATTCTAGGTTCAAGCTTCATGACCTGGGATTAAATTTTGTTGATGTACCTATCTTTGGCGACAATCCCTGTTCCACCGAATCAGATCCTTGTCAACGGTAGCATCCCCCAGAAATTCTGGGCTGTTAAGGAGAGCAGGGGATGGGAAGCTCTCTGCCAATTTAATAACAATGAGAATAATAATCACAAATAACACCTATATTGCTCTTATTAATGTACCAGGCATTGTTCCAAGCACTATATATATATACACACACACACACACACATTCATTTAATCCTCACAATTACATGGGATGGGACCTATTGTTATCTCCATTTTACAGGTGAGAAACTGAGTCACGGAGCGGTCAAGGCTTTCCCAAGGGGACACGGTTAGTAGGAGGCAGAGTAGGGTACAAACCCAGGCAATATGACTCTGGAGATCATGCCTGTATGGCAGATGCGCCTAACTGCGGTTAACCTTAAGTATACCCTGAGGATGACCCTGTGTGGCAGACGCACCTGAATGTGTGTCTAGTGTTCCAAGCGTGGCCAACCCAGAGATTCATTCCTTATCTATGAGGAACATCTGAGCCCCTGGCCCAGCCCTTGGAACATGGGCCATACAGGGGGCTAAGGCCCTTTGTTTCATGTGAAATGAATGTTGCCAGGTGGAGGTTGTTAGCGGGAGGGTGTTAGATGAAAGTGCTATATAAACTGCATGCTTTCTGCAGGCAGTGGTGGTTCTCCTGTCCAGCCTGTTGCCACTGGATCCCTCTTATGTAAGTTCCCCTCAACAAATCCTATGTCGCATTTGTTGGCTCTTGGTCTTTGGCCTCTTGAATCTGGTGCTATCCTTCCTGAAGTCAATAGGGATCTGGCATGACAATGCCCTTAACCACTGAGATATGCTGCCTCCACTTACCTAAAAATTCCTGCAGGTGTGCACTGTATTCTCCTGTATTCACAACTCCTATCTCAGTGAAGGGCGTTAAAAGTTTAGAGGGAAGAAGGGAACTTTGTATTTAAAAAACATAATTGCCTGTTATGTGCTAGTCACAATGTTAGCCACAGGGATACAGAAAAAAAAAAAAAAAAAAAAAAAAAGCCTCCACTGCAAGGAGGTCCCCCCACACAAGGAAGAGGCAGAAGAGTCAGTAAGTGAGCTATGGTGGGGGCACTCAGAGCACATGAGGAGCCCTGGCAACCTGGGAGCTCCGGCCAGGGTTCCCGCTTTGAGTCCTGGGGTTAATAAACTCAGTCTCTGAGTCAGACCAAAAGTCCTTACTTTGTCTTAGGGGCACACAGCTGGGCCCACCCGTTTGAGTCAACTAAACATTAGAGTATGAAATACAATTTGAAATGCAGCAGCAACAATCTTTTTTTTATTTCTCCTTTGGCAATGACTGGTGGTCTCTGTTAGATTCTCTTGTCCCTAGTTAGATGCTGAGGCGGCGAACCAAGCTTCAGTTAAACTTCCCTGGAATTACAGATTTTACAGAATCATGCAGACATGAAATCATGCAATCATGCTCACTTTCAGGCTTGATTCTGCTCAGCAATGTCCAAGTCAGTTGGCAAGGAAAGCTACTGGAGTCTGAACAGGCTACAATTCTGTTTATTTCTTTCATAAAAAATCATGGGCAAATGGATGAAAATCCAAGTTTTGGACAGTGCAGAGGATCAGCTTTTAGCACTCACCTGAGCAGGATGTCAAGGCAGCCAGGACTTCTGTAGAAAAGGGTCAGCTCTGGCATCCATGAGCGCACAGGGGGGAATGCACACGTGCATGCGTATGTACTTGAAGTACTGCCAAAGGCTCATCTTGCTGTCTTTCTGCTACATACCCAGCCCCTTTAAATTAGATCTTTTCTTGAGAAAGTAAACATTACCAGTAGGCCTTCTCCCACTTCATGACATGAAATAGGAATTTTTAAAGCCCCATTCAAACATCAGGGAGCGGTTAACTCTTGATTGTTAATATTTAGATTTCCTGTGTGGATATTATTATTTGCAACAAGTGTTTAGTCCCAATAGTTTTTCCCTATCAGTCATTACATTTTTGAAGGGCCTCTCTTTCCCATAGGTCAGCGTTTACCTCAGCAAGGGTAAGTATTTATTATTTATTTTGTTTTTTGAGATGGAGTCTCGCTCTGTCGCCTGGGCTGGAGTGCAGTGGCGCAATCTTGGCTCACTGCAAGCTCCAACGGTAACTATTTAAATTTGTATTAATCTAAGAAAAACCACAAGAATAGGTTCATTGCCTTTCAACCTCCTCACCAAAAGTCACAATGCATTCTGAAGCCATATATATATACACATACATATATAAAATATACATATATATGAGACAAATATGTATATTTGAGACAGGGTCTCACTCTGTTGTTCAGGCTGGAGTGCAGCAGCAGCATGATCATGGCTCACTGTGGCCTTGACTTCCTGGGCTCAATAGATCCTCCCATCTCAGGCTCTCCAGTAGCTGGGACTATAGGCGTGCACCACCAAGCCTGGCTAATATGTGATTATTAAATTATCCTCTGCCTTAACTATTTATTGCTTTATGTTGTGAGTAATGGATAATTGCCATTGAGGGTATCTGAAACATGAGACATCAGCCTCAATCCCCACCACTTAAGTGTTCAAATGACTTTACCTTAAACATTCACCATCCTCCCACTTACAATATCTCTTGCCTACTCTGCCCTCAAGGTAGTTCTGTCACAGAGAGTAACAACTCTGAATTCTTCAGGGCCCTGTAATAATGTGTGTCATCTTTAGCATCAGTTTGGGAAGTAATACACTTAATGTCCCAATTTGAAACATTTTCTGCCATCCCGTTTCATTCTATGCACTCACATGCCCCCCACAATGACATAAAGGCACAGAACAAGAATCTAAACCTCTTCTTATCAACAGTGGAATACTTTTCATAATCACTCTACACATTTATTTAGGAACAGTGAGATTCCTTTGAATCTCAACAGTTTCCTAGATATGCTGTCTTTTTTTTTTTCTTTTTTATTAAGTTACCATTTCTGGAATGGCTTCATGTTACATCTCTACACACTGGCCCACAAAAAAGGAGACTCTAGACATAATGTTCCCAAAGAAGTCAACAAAGATTCCCAGACCAGGCAGGGCATGGTGGCTCACACCTATAATCCCAGCACTTTGGGAGGCCAAAGTGGGTAGATCAGGAGGTCAGGAGTTCAGACCAGCCTGACCAACATGGTGAAACCCCATCTCTACTAAAAATACAAAAATTAGCTGGGCGTGCTGGTGGGCGCCTGTAATCCCAGCTACTTGGGAGGCTGAGGCAGGAGAATCACTTGAACCCAGGAGGCAGAGTTTGCAGTGAGCCGAGATCACACCACTACACTCCAGCCTGGGTGGGAGCGAGACTCTGTCTCCAAAAAAAAAAAAAAAAAAAAAAAGGTTCCCAACTCATATGGGAACTCTGGAAACTAGCACAGTATTTCACACTTTGGTATTTTCCCCCCCTTTTTTTTAAAGAAGATAAAATATTACAGAGACATTTTCAAAAATCACACCTGAGTTAAACGTTTTGCTGGAAAATTCCACATTAAGGAGTTAAGAACATAATGCAAAAAATGGGAAAGGGCTATATACAGGTACTTTGCCACCGTCATTATTGTGTGTTTGCTCTTGTATTCTTCCTTTTCTGCCACCAGGAGAAAGGAGAGGGGACAGGATAAAGAGAAACACAGAGAGGGAGGGAAAGAACAGGCACTCCTGAGCCCTAGGCAGACGTGGACAGACAGAAGGGCACCAGTGGGCAGCGCAACATGTCCAGAGCACCCACCAAGGGCAGCTCTTTTACGCCTTCTGCAAAAAGGAGGGGACCTGAAGGGCGCAATAATGAACGGATTTGGTTGTAGAAAAGGGGGTGAGGTTAAAAAGAAAATGGGGTGAGATGAAGATTCCGTCCAAAAACTTAGCTGTACAGAGAAAATATCAAGGCTTTGGTGGAGATATCAGATTCAAATCTTTTCACAGATTTTGGGATCAGTTCAGGGATTGTGGCCAAGTTCAGAGTCAAAACTATTATCTCCCCTTCTGGTGTTTGGCACTCCAGCCAAATGGTTGTCCCCAGAAGCCCACAGATGAGTTGGAGATTAACAGCAAGGAGTCTTTTCTCGGAAAGACCATTGCCACAGTGAAGCTGATTAAAATACTTGGAACTAGAAGGCAAGGGCATAGGCAAGGAAGGTGAAAACGGTAAGCTCCTAGGAAGGGCTATATATTTCAAGAGCAATGGGAGTCTGCACTTGGTTCAATCACAGTTTGGATCTTCGGAGGCCCTTGCTCCTGAAGAAGGCAAGAGTCTGGATTCATTGATAGTGGGGATTTTCTTGCACTCTTCAGAAAGCAATCTGTCTGTATATAGAAGGCATGATTCCCTTCCTTCCAGGCACAATACAGGGCCCAGTGGAGTTGGAGAAACTTTTTGGTTTCAGTGGAGGTAGGTGGGATGATTCCATCGGTACCAAGATCTGGAAGGAAGAAAGAAGTCAATCCTAAAGCTAGTAATGTGATGGCGTAAGATGGGAATGGGGAGTGACTGTTAGCAGGTATAGGGGTTTTTGGGGGGAGGGGTAATAAAACCATACTGGAATTACATAATGCTGATGGTTGCACAACCTTGTGAATATACTGAAAACCACTGAACTGCACACTTTAAAATGGTGAATTTTCTGGTATATGAATTATACCTCGAGCAATTTTTTAAAGCTGGTAATGTATATTATATGGTTCTCTCTCTCTCTGTCTCAGTAGGGGTAGGTGAGGAGCTCCAATGTTTTGGGCTATGCAACAATTGGCCAATAAGAGCTGGCTGCCTTGCTGAACTGCCTGGATTTGGACAGGTGGGTTCATCTTTTCTGGCGAACTTAGGTCTGTAACCTACACATCCCTGTTTTGTTCTGAATCAAGGCAGAATCTCTCTCTCTCACAAGGCATCAGCTCTGAGAACACTTTTTAGAGTAGATTCTTTGCCTCATGAACTGAAGCCTAGGAGGCTGCCTTCCTCACTGCGTCCCAGGTGGGAGTGGGAGACAGGAATTGGCACCACTTCCCTCTCTCCCTGTGTCAGCCATGCTTGAAGCCTAGGGTTTTCTTTGTGCCTAAGCTCTAGGCTCACATCAGAACCTCCTGAAAACTGGGTTCCTCGCATGAAGCCCAGCAAAGGACCTGGCCCTTTCTGACATGAGTGTTTGGAAATTTCCACCCTCAAAGTAAGGATGGAAATTTTGGCTTTGTTGACATCAGCTCCTTGCCAGGATGGCTCACTGACTGAAGCTTCTTTTTAAAATCCCTGCTCCCTAGGGATAAAGTCCAGTCTGGCTGTCGCTCTGTCCTCTCTCTACCACCCCATTCCTCTTTTCCAATCCTATCTATGACAAGCTTTCTTTCCCAAGGCATGGGCCCAGCTTCTCACATGTCCCTTGGCCCTGCTGGGATGTCTCTGCACCCTCCCCTCCACCTTACCCTGAAGAGTTAAAACTGGAGGCGGAGTTCACTGATGCTTTGGAGTTATTTTGAGATGCAGTGGGACTGCTGGCGTGGAGTCCTGAGCCAGGAGATGAAGGCCTGCTGTTGTTCCCAGGGGAACAGGATGACGTTACTGAGGATAAGGAGAGGCAAAAACAAGGGGAAAATAATACTGCTGGATCCCGAGACATTGGGACATAGCCCCTCAGATGCAAATTTCCTGGTGTAACCCCAAAGGGACCTCACCCTCTCCCTACCCACACCCACCTGACTACCTCCTGCCTCATTAGCATCAACTTCTGCCCACACCCAGAGGGGCTCTCATCCAAATGCTCTCTACAGCCCAGGCCCTGGAGAGTGGTGTGGCTGGTTCTGCAAGTCTAAGACTTGCCAAATGCAAGGACAGATGCCAAAATCATCCTACTCTGGGACACACCCAAGGCTGGGCACATGCAGCCCCGGACCAAGAGGCGGGAGAAGAAAAAGAACAAGAAGGAAGAGAGGAGGAAAGAAAGGCAGTGCATAGGGGAGAAAGAGAACTTGAGGCCACCATGAAAGATTGCCAGCTGCTTTAGTTCTCCTGACTCCACCAAGAAAAGGTGCATGGTTTTCTAGAAACTAGAGTAATGAACTGAGCTCATGGCTCATGCCTGTAAGCCCAACACTTTTGGGAGGCCGAGGCAGGAGGGCCGATTAAGCCCAGGAGTTCAAAACCAACCTGGGCAACATGGCGAAACCCAGTCTCTACAAAAAATACAAAAATTCGCCAGGTGTGATGACATGCACCTGTAGTCTCAGCTACTCAGGAGGCTGAGGCGGGAGGATCACTTGAGCCTGGGAGTTCGAGGTTGCAGTGAGCCATGATTGTGTCACTGCATTGCTTGGGCAACAGAGCAAGACCCTGTCTCAAAAAACAAAACAAAACGAAAACAAAAAGAGCAATGAACTGGGAGTGAGGGGACCTAAGCCCTGTCTTGGTCGCTGGCCATCCACTCAGCAGCTCTGTGGCTGCTGATTTGTTTCACCTTCCTGAAACTCATTTTCATCCTCTGTGAAGTGGCAGATTTTGTATCTGGATTAACTCTTGTGTTTGTGTTTCCCAAACTGTGTTCTATGAATAGGGTGACATATATTTTATTATCCAAACTAAGACCCTAAGACACTTTGAAAAGTAGAGGGGGCCGAGTGCAGTGGCTCACTCCTGTAATTCCAGCACTTTGGGAGGCCGAGGCGGGTGGATCACCTGAGGTCAGGAGTTCAAGACCAGCCTGACCAACATGGAGAAACCCTGTCTCTACTAAAAATACAAAAAATTAGCCGAGTGTGGTAGTGCACTCCTGTAATCCCAGCTACTGGGGAGGCTGAGGCAGGAGAATCGCTTGAACCCAGGAGGCAGAGGTTGCAGTGAGCTGAGATTGCGCCATTGCATTCCAGCCTGGGCAACAAGAGTGAAACTCTGTCTCAAAAAAAAAAAAAGAAAAAAAAGACAAAGATTAAAAAAAATAGAAAAGTGGAAGGAAGTACTATTGATAATTATGTCAGGACATGAAGCAGACCCTGGGACTATCCTGGCCACCCTGGGCATGTGATCATCCTGTCTAGTTCTTTGAAATAATCAGGTACTTTTTGAGGAATAGAGTATACTTTAGGAAGCCTTGCCTTCCTTGGGCCTTCCATACAGTTCATTTTGGAATGTTATGCACCTGAGTGCTTAGAAGTGCTGCAGTTAGAACAAAACAAAACAACAACAACAAAAAAATACGCTTGTTTAAACTGTGCATACTCACCATTTTCCAAATTTACTTGATCATAGAACCTTTTCCCAACACAGATTTTAATATCCTTTGAAATGCATTTAAGGGATCCTGACTTAGGTAGATACCTTTCAGTTCTAATATCCCATATTTTAAAAGAATTCTGGTGTTATTCAGAAATCTCATTTTAAAGCTCACCTGTTCCAGGCATGGTACTGTGGACAGGAGGGACAGAGAGGGGACCCAGAGACCCTGAGGGAGATACCTGAAAAACAACAGAAGCTTGTAAATGTCCATTTCTGCTCGCTTCTCCAACTTCAGACCATTCTCCAAAGACAGTAGGTCCCAGACTCTACAGAGACCAGGGCTTGGCTTCGTTGGTTATTTTTTAGCCCCAAACCTACATGCCATCCTCCTTTCTATGGGAAGGCCTCTGGACCACATACTGGCATCCAGAATCAGGTCCAGTCTGCTCCGGAAGTTTCCTGGTGTCGACACCAGGCCCCTCCAGCCCCTGACAATGTGTATTGCCTGATAAAGTTTCTTTGGCACTGCCAAGCCGAAGGCTGCCTTGCCTGAGAGCCCTGGAGGTGAGCAAGACAAACCTCCTGGGCCCTGCAGTGGCAGATACTGCTGGTTGCCTGCTGTTTTCTGGTCTCCATTGCTTTTTCCCTAAAAGAACCCTGCTTTTGCTTAGGACAGCAGGGTTGCTCAGCCTAGCAGCCTCTTTCGGGCTTTCCCACTCTGATAGATGAATGGAGCATGGACTCTCCAGAGGTAACCGGAGGTACTGAACTTTGGTCTCTGAAGATTTTTATTTTGCCCTGGAGACCTCATAGCATCATCAGCTCTGAGATTAGAAAGGGACCTGGGATAATTTTGTTTACCCTCCCATGTAATTCAGGACCCTCCTCCTCACTGTTACTATCCTAGAACAAGATGTAATAGAAAGAATAGACTTTGGAGCCCAACAAGTCTGGGAGTAAGACAACTCCACAACTATCTGTGTGACTTTGGGCAAGTTATCTAACCCCACTGAGATTTGGTTTTCTCATCTGTAAAATAGCAGCAGTACTTCCATTATATATTTTAATTAAGACATAATGAGATAATGTCTGTAAATCTTCCAACCCAACAGCTGGCAAAGAGTGTCCCGGCTTGTTAAATGCTAGTTCTCTCCCTTTCTGGAGGAAGAAGCTGTCAACTGCTGTATATTTCTAGATATTATTCAGCTCTTCTTTTGAGCTAAAATCTGTGTATCTTCACTGCCCCTTATTCTTCTCATGCTAACAGGGGAAGCTGTGACCAGGTGTTTGCAAAGGCTATTGAAAGGTAGTTCTGCTCTCTCCACTTTGGAAGATCCCATCCTAACATGATGCAGCATGTACTTATTTCCTCATTAATCGGAAATGGTTTCCCTGTTTTCATTTACTTTTCCTTATACAATGAGCCTCATCAGTAAGCTGGGGGCCTGTGAAGGGTGGAGACGGGTGTGGGGCACAGGTTGGGAGGGGTGGCAGAGTGGTAAGAGATGTTATCAATAATCTCCCTACTTCTTCTCCTCCTCTCCCTGCTGTCACACCCAAGACATGTGTTGTTGTTGTTGTGGTGGTGGTGGTTGTTGTTGTTGGTTTGAGATGGAGTCTCTCTCTGTCACCCAGGCTGGAGTGTAGTGGTGCTATCACGCACGGTTCACTGCAACCTCTGCCTCCTGGGTTCAAGTGATTCTTCTGTCTCAGCCTCCCAAGTAGATGGGATTACAGGCACCCGCCGCCACGCCCAGCTAATTTTTGTATTTTTAGTAGAGACAGAGTTTTGCCATGTTGGCCAGGCTGGTCTTGAACTCCTAACCTCAGGTGGTCCACCCACCTTGGCCTCCCAAAGTGCTGGGATTACAGGCGTGAGCCACCGCGCCTGGCTTTGTTGTTGTTTTTAAATAAATGATAATGTATTTGGTCATTGCGGCCAACTTGTTTCCTTCTGGAAACAGGCTAGGCATATGTAAACAGACATATATATGGTTCCCCTTTTTAATTTTCTAGATATATTGTAGCATTCTGCCCACACTGATCTGCACCATTTTGCCTTCCCACCTGCTAATCATTTTATTCCAGAAGCAGAAGAAACTATGTCCTAGTCCCAAGGGACTGTCTCAATGAGACCTAAAGATAGGATCAGAAAATGTTCTCTCCCCTTTCCCTTCATGACATCACTAGTGTTAGTGTAACTATTTATTTAATGTCCTTCACTGACATTAGGCTGTAGACTTCAAGAGAGCAGGGTAACGCCTGTGTGGTTCACTGCCACACCCTCAGTGCTTTCTACGGTCCCTGGAACGTCACAGCTGCTCAGTAAATATGTGTTGAATGAAAGCTGATGAGGAATGGGACCCCTGCTTGGCTCCCTCGGCCCCCTCCATTTCTCATCATGTTGATGTCCTGGGTTGGTATTGAACCAAAGGGAGAATCTACTACTTCTCATCTGCTCTAAATAAAGTCCAATCTTGCAAGATTCCAGAGTTCCTATGACATGACCCAAGTTTCCTAACAAGGCCTACAATGCCCGACATAATCCAGCCCCGCCTACCACTCCAGCCTCCTCATTCACACCCGCACTGCCTGGTGTCCAGCCCATTCTGGCCTTCTATGCTTCTTTCCACCTACCCCACCCCACCACCAACCTGAGAACCTTTGTACATGCTATTTCCTCTACCTAGAATATTCTTCCCTGCCCTCACTCCTCCCTGCCTCCCCAGCTCAGACACTTTCCCTGTTAATATCAATGGTGACATTCATTCTTCTGGTGTCAGTGTAAACATCATTCCTCAGAGAAGCTCCTGACACTCTGGACTAGGTTAGGCACCTCATATACCTGTACCTCTTCTCTTAAGCCTTCATCACAAATAGCATTTGTTTAGTATCTGTTTTTCTGCTACACTGTGAGCAGGGATCACGTATGCTGTTCACCACTGGAGCCCCAGTACCAAACATATAGTAGGTGCTCAGTGAATGCTTAAGGAAGAAATAATGAGTGAATATTATCTTGCCTCCAACTTAGCATGTTCAATGATCCCTTACAGAGTTTAGGGTACTTCAGCATCCATGGCCCATTATGATCCCACACTCATCAGACCCTCTAATTTTAATCATGAACCCCTTGCTCTAGCCAGATTGAAATGCTTGCGATTTCCCAAATGCATCATGTTGTTTTATAATTCCATGCCTTCAGGCTGGGCGCGGTGGCTCACACCTGTAATCCTAGCACTTTGGGAAGCCAAGGCGGGCAGATCACTGAGGACAGGAGTTTGAGACCAGCCTGGCCAACATGGTGAAACCCCGTCTCTACTAAACATACAAAATTAGCCAGGCTTGGTGGTGGGTGCATGTAATCCCAGCTACTCAGGAGGCTGAGGCAGGAGAATTACTTGAACCCAGGAGGTGGAGGTTGCAGTGAGCCTAGATCGCACCATTGCACTCCAGCCTGGGCAAAAAGAGCAAAACTCTGTCTCAGAAAAATAAAAATAATAAAAATAAATAAAAAATAAAAAAATTTCATGCCTTCTCACAGGCTATTCCTTCTGCCTTGTACACTACTCTTGCTAATTACTAATCTATTCTCCAAACAAATTAGATATTCACCCTCCCGGGCCCCATTCTGATGTGGGCGTCTTTCCTCTTGGTTCCCAGGGCACTCCTATGGGGCTCATTCCTGCCCAACACTCCTCACATCTACTTGGTTGTAGTTTCTTGCCTTTTCTGCTACCTCCTTTTCAGTTTCTTCCCTGATCCTCTTCCTTTGCCCATCTCGCAAAAGCTGGTGGCATGGCCTTTGCTCTTTGCTTCCTCTACATAAACTCCATAGGCGAGTTCCTCCTCACCCAGGATTTCAACCACCACCTGCACACTTGTGACCCCCTAGTCCATGTCTCCATCCCAGCCTTCCAGTCTCACTTCCAGACTCATAATCTCAAGTGTCCAAGGACATTCCCACATGGGTGTCCTGCAGCCTCGCTGTACGTCATGATGACATGAGAACTGAAATCATCACTTCTTGCCACTCCCAAGCCATCTCCTCCTGGTTTGCTTGTTCCGTAAATGGCAATACCATCTACCCAGTCAACCCAGCCTGAACGCCAAGAGTCATCACAGAGGATTCCCTTTTCTTCTCCCTGCCCCCATCCAGCTTTCCATTCATTAACCAAGACCTTCTAATGATTTCTTGAATTCCTCCCCCCCTTCTCTTTCCTCCCTCCTGGGGTTGCTTTGCCCTCGGTCTTTCTCTACTGGCTACCTGCAGTCCCATCCTAACTGGCCTCCCTGAAACCCGTCTTGGGCCTCTCAAACCATCCTTTATCCTGCAGTCAGAGTGATCATTCGAAAAACGATCATGCCAATATCCTGTGAAAATCCTTCAGTGATTCCCCTAAACCTTCAGTTCCTTAGCATTGTGGACAATCCCTGCACAGTCTGACCTTTCTGATCTGTCCAGCCTCATCTGTCAACACTCCTCCTCATGGAACCACTTGCAGTTCTGTGAGCTTGCCACACTGTCCCTGCCCCTGGGAGAGCTCCACCCACATTTATTTGCCTCTCATTCCTCTTCGTCCTTTAGACTCAGCTCAGGTATTAATTATCTCCTTGGGGAAGCCTGTCCTAAACACCAGCTCCCAAGGCTGGTTAGCTGCTGCTCCTAAGTTCTCCTGAAGAAATGATCATGCTGTTTTCCATTCGTTTATTTACCTGCTCCTCTGCTAGGCAGTGAGGTCCTCTGGGACAGGGAACAAACAATATTTATCTTTGTATCCCCAGCACTTGGCACAATATATAGAAGGTAGTCGGTAGCTGGTTGGTGAAAGAATCAACAATGGTGTAGTTTTGGGAAAACAGCTGTGTCCCACCCTGACAAGGCTGCATTTCACCCATCTTACAGTGCTGAAAGACTGAAGGGCAACATCGTTCTCCCCAACTCCCTTAACCTTCAACCATCATCATCCCCAGAGAGGAAGCTTCCCACCCCCACCCTCCAGGTACCATTTCTCCCTGCATGGAGAAGGTATTTCCTGCCCCCTAAACTTCATAGTCTGCCTAGAACTTCAAGTTGTTCCCAGCCCTGGCTTCTCCCTTGAACTCCAGAGTCACAGATATAACTCCTTCATACTTACTCTCAGATGCCTTGTAGGTATGTCCAACTTAATATGACCAGCCCCAAATTCTTAGCTTTTTTCCTTGAACTTGCTCTTCCTGCAGTTTTCATCATCTCAAAAAAATGGCAGTGCTTTCCAACGCACTGCTCAGGCCAAAACCCTTTTAATCATCTTTGTTTCCTTTCTTGTATTCTGTATCTGAGCACATCATGCTGCTCCACTGTCAAAGTCTAGCCAGAATGCAACTGCTTCTCCTCACCTCCATGGCCACCACCCTAGGCCAAGCCTCCATCACACAGCCTGACCACTGTCATTCTCCTAACTGGTCTCCGGCTTCCAAACAGATGATTCCCCACATAGCAGCCCGTGTTAGCCAGCTCAGCCTTCTCTGGCTAGAGCTCTCCAATGGCTTCTCATTTTACCCAAACTGAAAGCCAGGGGCCTTTCAATGGCCTCCAAGACCTTGGGCGCTCTGCTTCTTGTTTCTTCTCTGACTTCTTCTCCTACTTTTGGTCCCCTTTCTCATTCTGTCCCCAGCCACATTGGTTGCCTTGCTGTTTCTTAAGCATACTGGATCTTTTCACTTGCTAGGCCCTCTGCCTAGAACATTCTTTCCCCTAGATATCCACATATTTAATTCCCTGACAACTCTAGGTCTCTGTTCACACACCCTTATCAGGGAGATCCTCTCTGACCTCCCTATTGAAAGAGCATCTCCCCGCTATCCCCTTCTATTCCCTCGCCCTTCTTTAGTGTTCTTTATACTATATTCTATACAGCATCTCTTTGCTTATTTATTTACTGGATGCTCCCCTTCTTCCCTGCAGCCACCACTTTCCCCTCCAAGCATCATGTCCCTCCAGTTCTTGGCAGACAGCTTGGTTCCTGGCCACTCACCAGCCGGGAATTGTAGACAGGTGGTTTGATGGGTGTGGCCACAGGGCAGTTGATTCGCTTCTCCTTTTGGCGTCGGTTGCAGAACCAGACTCTCACCACCTCCTTCTCCATGGACAACTGCTCTGCAATCATGGAGATCTCCTCCGAGCTGGGTTTTGGGTTCTATAGGGACCGAAAGGACAGAGTATGGTCAAGAAAAGGGACTCAGGGGTGGGGAACAGAGGTTCCAAAGAAACAGGATACAACTATACATGGATCAAAAGCTTTAGAGTCAGACCTAGGATGAAATACTGGCTTTTTCACTTACTATATGTCCTTAGGAAACTTTCTTAACCTCTCTGAGCCTGTCTTACCATCTATGAAATGAGAATAATCATGCCCACCACATAGGATTATTGTAGGAATTAAATGAGAAAATGTGTGTAAACTGCCAAGCACAGGGCCTGACACAAAGTAGGGTCTCCATAGATGTAGGCTGTCTTTCCTTTGTTCATGAGTTCAGAGGAGTCCATGCATGAGTTACGTGGGGCAGGCAGAGTCCCCAGAGCTGCTGCTGCTCCCTTCTGTGTTCTTCCTTATAATCTGATAATCTGATGTCCTTCTCCCTGTCATTTATTTTTTTTGTTTTTTTTGAGACGGAGTCTCGCTCTGTTGCCCAGGCTGGAGTGCAGTGGCATGATCTCCGCTCACTGCAATCTCCGCCTCCCAGGTTCAAGCATTTCTCTCTGCTTCAGCCTCCCGAGTAGCTGGGATTACAGTCATGTGCCACCACGCCCAGCTAATTTTTGTATTTTAAGTAGAGATGGGGTTTCACCATGTTGGGCAGGCTGGTCTTGAATGCCTGACCTCAGGTGATCCACCTGCCTCGGCCTCCCAAAGTGCTGGGATTACAGGCATGAGTCACCGCCGCCTGGCCTGCCTTGTCATTTCTTCCTGTCCTCCTGCCTCAAAGAGGAAATGAGAAAGCTAAAACACGTGGACCCATCAGGACTGTGGCACAGCAATACATGCTACATGGGTGCCACTCCCTTGTTCTGATCCCTTGCACCTGGTCTTTAGCCCCGGCCACTTTCCCCCACTCCTACACCCTCCCTTAACCTTGCCACTCTAGGAAGCCTAAAAAGAAGGAAAAGCCAGTTCTTGTCACTCGGCTAGCTGGATGTGGGCACCAAATCTTTGAGCCAAATATGTGAGGAATCTGCCAGAGGGACAGCAGTCCTGGAGGCCTGGGGCCTTTGGAGATGTGTGGTACCCATGGCGGCTCTGGAGGCTGGGATCTAAGGGAGCCTGGCTAGGTGCTGGTTAGGCCACATCTGTTTCTCAGCTCGCACAGGGCTCACAGCTTCCACTGGCTCAAAAATATGCTTTTGCTACAAGTTCCAAAAAATGTAGGTGTATAACATGATGACAAGTATTTAAATGTACACAGAAAAGAAGAGTAGAAGGAAATGAGGTCAGATGGCATTTGGTGATGAGTATTCTTTTTCTTTCTACTTCCTTGTACTTTCCAAATTGCTTACAATAAGCATTTATTATATTTACAATTTGAAAAACATAAAATGTACTGCATAGAAAATAGAGAACTTATATACAATCCCCTGACTTTACACCCTTTACCTCAGCTGGATACGGAGATACTGTGTTCTGGGACCCTATAGCCCGTTCTTTAAATCTCCCAGTGAGAAAAACAAAGAGTCCTAAATAGATGTCAGGGCAAGAAGGGTCAGTGGAGGAGGAGGTTCCTGGAAGCTGAGATGGCGAGCAGCTTAGCACTCCAATACCTGGGGGCCTGGAGTGGGATAATGTGTTTTCTGATTGTGTCCCAGGGCAGGTCTGAGGTGCTGAGGGGCTGGTGCCAAGCAGCCTGTGCCATGTCTACTCCCCGTACCTGTATGAGGCAGCCCGCCCATGCCCACCCGAAGGTGCTGCTCACATCTTGAAACCTCTTCTCCAGAGTCAGGCGGATGTTGGTCTCGATGCTGGTCCGTTTCTTTCTCTTCCTTCCAAATACTTCACTGAGGCTGGGGTAGGAGCTGGGCGTGCTCACTGAGGGGTCTGACGGAGAGGACTCTGCGGAGGAGAGGACACAAAGGAGCAGAGGAAGCTCAGAGAAGGGGATGAGTGGCTGGTGCCTTCATGGATTTGAGGTCCAACAACCCTTCCCGATGGGCTCTGCAGTGGCATTTTCAGGGGCAATCCCCTCCCCCAGTAGGGAGCCCAGAACAGACCAAGAATCCCACTTCTTTTCGTTGCGCAGGGCAAAGGCCCTCCGTGGCCCTCCATTGTCCCCCATGGCCTTCTGTGGCCCTCCGTGACCCTCCGTGGCCCTCTGAGGCCCCCAGAGCAGTGTCTCCAGTGTTTGGGGTCATGGCTGAGGGATGCCCAGGCATCGGTGGCACATGTGGGTGTAAGTGGACACTGGCAGGACTCCTACGAGTAACGCTCGTGAGGCTGCTGTTTACAGATATGCCTGGATGTGAATACTGAGCGAAATGTGAAATGGGATTTGGAGCCAAAAGCAATGGCACTTCGTGGCAGACTGTTGGTGTTGGAGGCATTTTCGTGCCAGTGCAAATGTTTGAGCTAAGGCTGTAGGGGCCATAGGAGGGATATCCCCGAGGAAGGATTCAGGTATCTGATGAGGACTAGAAATGGTCACAGGGCCCTTCTCCAGAGATTCGAAGACTTTCGGATCATTTCGCTCATTTCAGTGCTTCCATAAAGGCTGTCTAAGGGGCAGCCTGTGGGGGGAGCTTCCTGCCCCCTCCCATGCTTGTGTGTAGAGGCCCTTCCGTGGGAGTAACAGCCCTGGCTGGCTGCCCCACCCTTTCCTCCCTCTCCAGTGTAACCACCAATCCACGTGAATCTACTGAATAGAGCCCAGCCCTGGAGACTGGCTCACTCCCTCTCTCTGCCTAGGCTGGCGGTTCTCAACCGGGGGGGACTCTGCATCACCACCCCTCCCCCTGGGACATTTGGCAATGTCTGGAGAGATTCTTGGCTGTTTCAACTGGGGGTGGATGCTACTGGCAACTAATGGGTAGGGACCAGGGATACTCAAAACATCCTGCAATGCATAGGCCAGTCCCTGGTAACAAGAATGACCTGGCCCGGGATGTCCATAGTGCCAAGGTTGAGAAGCCCCATCCTATGCTAGTTCCTGCTGCCATACTCTTCCACTCAGTATTCCAAACGTGTGGTCCCTTGGCTTATACCCTTGATCTCCTGGAATACCTCCCAGCCACCACCCCTCACTGAGTCCTCCCACAAACCCCACGCCTGCTGTCAGGCTTTCCTGACCAACCTGGGTTGCAGTAAGTCCCTGTCTGCTGAAAACCTACTCGAGAACTAGCCAGGGAAAGACCCTGTGTCATGCCTGTGGTCTCCACCTCCCAGTGAGACCCTAGAGGCTCCATTGCTGTTTCCCCTGACCCAGACTTATTCCAGACAGCAATCTGCATAAGTGTGTCTGCTCTGCAGACCCAGACTTTGTCGCTGGCAAGTTGTTCTAAGGTCTACGCTGGGTGGGATGGGTAGGAATTGAATGGGGGCAAATCCTGATGGACACAGACCTAAATCCACATCCTTCTGAGGGCTTCTCAGTAGTCGAGCTGACACTTTCATCTACACTTGCCTGTGCCCTGTGTCTTGTTTCTCCATCGGCTCCAGTCTCAGGAGAAGAAAGGGGTGTTAGGTATCAACTCCCAAAAGCCCCAACATGACAAGTCACTGGCCCTTCCCTGCAGAGCCCTCCAGGGCCCCAGCATCCGTGTTTGTGAGGCCTACCTGCATCATTCAGCCACTTCTCCAGCAGGGGCTTGAGCTTGCACATGTTCTTGAAGCTCAGGTTGAGGGCCTCAAATCGCGAGATGGTGGTCTGGCTGAAGTCGTTGCCATACAGCTTTCCCATCGCCAGCCCCACATCTCCCTAAGCGTGGGGACCGAGGGGGAGGAACATGAGAGGCGGCCTCCTCTTGTTTGCCCACATCCTGCATGGTCCTAGCATCGATCACACAGCCAGCCTGAACCTTCGAGTGCTCACCCATGCTCAGCTGCTTTCCAAGTCTCCTCCCTCTAAGGTGAAGAATCGGTTTCTTTCTCTCCTTAGACTCTGAGTGGACCATGCCCATGTGCTCAGGAGAGCCAGCCCCTTTTAACCTCTCATTCTCCTCCACCAGCAACGTCCTCTATTTCCCTACCAATGGCAACTGTGCCCTATTCTCAGAGAACTCAGGGACACGATGAGCTGGCCCCAAATACCTCGAGCCTCTGGTCACTCTTGAAACCTGCACTTGGGAAGCCCAGTTTCCAGCCGCTCAGCTCAATTTCTTCTGTCTTTTCCCCTAAAACCAAACCTGTGTGAAGCCCAGCTTAATGCGCCTCTGCTTGAAGGTCTTGGCAAACTTCTCCAGTTCCTCGAGGTCACTGGGCTCATCGGCCCCTCCAGAGCTGGGTAGATGCTTGGGCACCGGGAGATGCTGGGATGCTTCCAGGTGGGGTTCTAAAGAGGATCCTGGCGGCCCAGGGCGCCCAACTGCCTGATAGGAAACACACCAAGCAGATCCACCACAAAGATCAATAAATAACAATTTCTGATTTTTGTTTTGTTTTGTTTTGTTTTGTTTTTTTACTAATAGACCCACTTAGAGGATGACAGATCCCTGGATACACCCTGGGTACATTTGAGTCCTATTTTTTTTCCAATGGCATGGAAGTAGAAATTGAAGTTTCTATGAATGTATAGCAAATAACTGGAATATCTGGGTAGAAACATCAGGAGTGCAGGATAGGGAGGTGGCCTGAGTTTAGCCTGTGACTCACTGTTTGAGTCTTAGCAGGTTACTTCCTCCTTTCAGTTTTCTACCATAAAAGGAGCTAGCAGGGTTGTTTACAAAGATTCCCAAAACAAATCACAGAACTGGACGAAGATAAGGTTGCTTGCTTTTTTTTTTTTTTTTTTTTCTCCTCCATAAAGCGGGTAACTGAGGTGTTGAACAGGCATTAACTGAAGATAACAGGAATATCCAGAACTCGTAGCCTTTATAGAACTTTCCTGAAATGTCAAACTCTTGTGCATCATTTTACTTACTAAACCACCATTTTCTTTCATGAAAGTGTTTTGTTTTTAATCAAAGGTATTTTAATCAGTACTTTATAAAATGCACCTTGATCTCATTTGGGATGTTAGGAGATATTCTTTCTTCTTCTTCTTCTTTTTTCTTCTTCTTCTTCTTCTTCTTCTTCTTCTTTTTTCTTCTTCTTCTTCTTCTGCTGCTGCTGCTTCTGCTTCTTCTTCTTCTTCATAAGCACTTCTTCTTTATTACTTTTTCTTCTTCTTCTTCCCTCTTCTTCTTCTTTTTCTTCTCCTTCTCCTTCTTCTTCTCCTTCTTCCTCCTTCTCCTTCCTGGCATTTTTTTTTTTTTGAGACAGGATCTCACTCTTTTTTTTTTGAGACAGGATCTCACTCTGTCACCCAGGCTAGAGTGTAGTGGCACAATCACTGTTCACTGCAGCTTCAACCTCCTGGGCTCAAGCCATTCTCCTGCCTCAGCCTCCTGAACAGCTGGGACTACAGGCATGTGCCACCCTGCCTGGCTAACTTTTGTTTTTGCAGAGACAGGGCTTCATCATGTTGCCCAAGCTGGTCGTGAATTCCTGGGCTCAAGCGATCTACCTGCCTTGGCCTTCCAAAGTGCTGGGACTACAAGCATGAGCCACTGTGCCCAGCCAGATATTCTTTCTTGAGCTTATTTTCATAGGAAAATGTACTCTTAAACCTAGAACCATGTTGTGCCCATTTGGGGTCAGGAATGAATCCAATCTTAAAGACATCTATCATTCCACAAGGATAGAGTGAAATCTGGGCTTTGGGGTCCAGGCACTGTGTCCAGCTCAAAGGGCTAAATCCACCTCTTCTTTCCCTTTTGATTTAGTTTGCGTATACTAGGGTTAACATTACTTCTTCTCCTCTGGGATATTTGGGTTTACCATTCAGATAGGCATCCTTATCATGAAGAAGGTAAAAGGACCAGAGAGAAGTTTAGGAGTCTTTCCCCCAATGAAGGGTCTTTTGGTCTGAAACCATCATGAATTTGGTTCTTATTTTGCAGGGAAGGGGTGTGTGAGGAAAGTGTGGTATAGACCAGACCCTCAGGACAAAGCCCCAGTCCTCTTTGAACCTTCCTTTTATTTGTTCTTTCATTTGACAAAGACTTATGGGGCTCTCTGCTAGACCTTCTCCCTCTTCCTTTCATCTCGAATCCACTGGCAACCTGCACTGATTCAACTTCCCAAAACATCTCCTCAATCATCCCCTCTTCTTATTGCCACAACTCTTAAGCCAATCCTTTATGACCCCTCCCCTGGATGATCTTCATAATCTTCTGTGTGGTCTCTCTGCTACCAGTCTCTCCGTGCCAAAATATGATACGATATGAGAGTTGATCTTGAATATTCTAAGATCTCTTCCAGCTGTAAACCCACGCCAGGAGGAGGTGGAAGAGCCGCTCGTGGTGCTGGTGTTCACATTTCAACCACTAGATGGCGAGCTTCCCCTCCAGGTACTTTTAGTGGCCTCAGCCCTCTCTGAAGGCAGGGCTCTTGGTGAGCCACAGGGCTCTTAGCACAGAGATCTCTGCAGTCATTCCCAGCCATTTTGCCCAACCATCTCATGCAGCTGTGCAGGTTATTAACTGTGCAGGGGCACCCAGATCAGGAGAAGAATGGCAGCTAAGATACAGCTCATGCTGCTGTCGCCAATCTGTGCACCCTGGCATGAGACTGCAGCTAGCCAGAAGGAGAGATGCCTTTTTCCTAGTTGGAAAAAAGGTGCTGTGTGGAACCATGGCAGCTCTGCAAACAACCCCTCTCCCAGACCTCAGCCCACTGGCCTATATACGTGCCCACTGCGGGAGGCAATCTGGAACAGTGGCCCAGAGGTGAAAGGCACAGGCTTTGTGGGCTGGGACATCAGGTCTGTGGTATTTTAGTCTTCCCCTTGGCCCCTGAGAGCACCTAGGTAGAGTTCGTGGCCATCTTGGTGTGCCTGAGAAGTTAGCTGAGCCTGGCTCTCAGAGGAGCAATGCTGGGGCCTGTGCAGGGCTGGAGTTCGGTGCCTGGAGCATGAAGGAGGCTGGCCTGGGAGCTGGAATCTCTGGGTTCTAACTGTGGCCCCACCAGTGATACTTGGTAAATTGTCCCCTCCCTCCTTGCTGTAGCTTGGATTTCCCCTATGCCAACGGACAGTTCCCTGCTGTCCCCTCTCCCCAGAGGGATTAGTATCCTGTTAAAGGGGTAAGGGGGAAACTAGTGAGTTAAACTCGGTAAGAGCTGACACATTCCTAGAGGAAACAGGAAGAATGGGGTTGTTTACCTGGGATGTCAGTCCTGGCCCAGTCTGTGGGAGGAGGAGGCTGCTTTGTTGCTGTGGAAAGGGGAGGAGATTTGGCTGCAGACCTGAGTGAAAGGGGAGGGACAAAGGAACAGACAAATAAAATCCAGGCTATTTGAAAGACATGTGCTACAACTTCGGCACCATGATCACTGTCCCGACCCCCTGCCACCTGATCAGGTTCCTCCACCCACCTCAAGTCCCATGGAGAGGCCTTCTAGCACTGCCAGGCATTGCCACATATAGGTGGAGGCAAATCAGATACAGGGATAAACAGACATGTAAACAGCAGTCCCCAAACCAGTCCTTCCACCTGCCCACCTGTCTGGAGAGGTGCAGAGGCTAAGGAGGGTCAAGAGGATCTACTCTGGGATCTGATTACCAGAGCGGAAGAAACCCAGGAAGGGAAGGGTTGCAGGGTGGCTGCTGAGAAGTCAAGCTGGTGCTGAGGATTTTGGCTTTCCCTGCAGGAGAAGCAGCTGGGATGGCTACAGAGGCCCAAGCAAATCTGTGAGGATGCCAGAGCAAGCAGATACGACCATGCAGCTCTAAAGGGCAGTGGGCCTTAGCCAGAGGCATGTGGCTAACCAGGACATTTTATACTTGGGAGGGAGGGCTGAGAAATGAGGGAAAGTCCAGGGCTGAGCCTCTGGAAACTCCCTTGAGCAGTATGTATTATACCTGCTTCTCCATCCTCCCCAGGAAAATTGTACATGAAGGGCTCTGCCTGGTTGGTGGCTCACTCTCCCAGCAGGAGTGGGGCCATCAAACCGCCAAAGCAGACAATGGGGTTGGTTACCCCAACTGCTTGTCACTCAACAGCACCTTGGGGTGTCTGTTTTCCCTAGGCTGTTCTGGGTCACAATGTACAGCATCTGCTGATGTTGACCTTTATGCTTTTCAGTCTAAAAAGTCAGGGCTTCATTGTTCATTATTAAAATACATGGGCAAGAAATCTCTTATAAGGAATCCCGAACTGGGAGTTGAGAGGCTTGGGTACTAATGGCAATTCTGACATGGCAGTTGAAATGGATACAACCTTTTCACATGCATTATTTCAAGTGACTCTCAATAATCTCATGAGGCAGAGCCTTGCTATTATCCCATTTTTACAGAAGAGGAAATGGAAGCTCAGAGAGGTTAGGTAACTTTTCCAAAAACACACAGTTAGTAAGTGACTTTTTGAAAAACCAATAAATTTTTCTGACTCCAAATTTGGAAGTGTCTTTCCACCATTGCATCATACACTGACCTAGTTGGTTATATGCCTGGGTCATTTTCATATCACTCTCCAGTCTTCTGAAAACAAATTAAACTGTTACCTTCCCTTTTCCATTCAAGGAGTATAATGTTTATTGTTTAACCAAAATAAACACTTAAAAATTCAAATAGGGGCCGGGCACGGTGGCTCAAGCCTGTAATCCCAGCACTTTGGGAGGCCGAGACGGGCGGATCACGAGGTCAGGAGATCGAAACTATCCTGGCTAACACGGTGAAACCCCATCTCTACTAAAAAATACAAAAAACTAGCCGGGCGAGGTGGCGGGCGCCTGTAGTCCCAGCTACTCGGGAGGCTGAGGCAGGAGAATGGCATAAACCCGGGAGGCGGAGCTTGCAGTGAGCTGAGATCTGGCCACTGCACTCCAGCCTGGGCGACAGAGCGAGACTCCGTCTCAAAAAAAAAAAAATTCAAATAGGGTCTCATTCATCACCATAGTATTCTGAGGTGCCTTGGAAACTAAGCATAGTGACTCATTCGTGCACGAGCTAAGGGCGGAAGGCAGAGTTGCATTTTGTTTGGATTCTGGATTTCCAAAGCCTCTACCTGGGATTTGCCACAGGAGAGAGTTTATGCTTCCTCAATCACTTTTTTTTTTTTCCCCAGAGACAGAGTCTCTCTCTGTCACCCAGACTGGAGGGCAGTGGTGCAATTTCGGCTCACTGCAACCTCTGCCTCCCAGGTTCAGGTGATTCTCTTGCCTCAGCCTCCCGAATAGCTGGGATTACAGGCTTGCACCACCACACCCGGCTAATTTTTGTATTTTTAGAGGAGACAGTTTTATCATGTTGGCCAGGCTGGTCTCGAACTTCTGGCCTCAGGTGATCTGCCCACCTCCTCCTCCCAACTTGCTGAGATTACAGGCAGGAGCCACCGTGCCCAGCCAACCCTCCATCACTTTTGACTGGTGGAGATGGGAGTGGGACAGGCTGGTGGAGATGGGAGTGGGACAGGCAGCACAGTGTGATGGCCAAGAGTATGGGTCTCAGCTAAACGGTTCTGGAACTTCCCAGTAGGTCACCAGAGGCATAATAGGACTACCTACTGCACAAGGTTATTTTGAGGAATGTCAGAAAAATTACTCAGCAGAGCTCCTGGCACATCATGCTCAAGAAATGTTAGCTATTTATTAATAGTTCAATCTATTTGCTCTTGGCCAGGGAGAAGTTCTCTGGTTGTAATTTCCCTGCCAAAGAAAACCTGAACACCCTTTCTACAACCTGTGGGTGGCGCTGCTGCTCTCTCCAAATGGAATCACAGCCAGGCTTCCAGGCAGCAAGTCCGAATCTGTGTCCAGGAGAGATTTCCAAGGAATCGGGACTTGTCTGTACTGCATTTCCCAGGGCGCTTCCCCTCCCTGTACAGCACAGCTCTCCTCCACGCCTGCACCTTCCGTCTCCACTCACCACGAAATTGAGGAGGTGGGCCAGACCACCCAAGAGGAGGCTGGGAAGGGGAAGCAGAGAGGGAGACTAAGCCTGCAGGAGCATTGCCAGGGTCCCTTCCTCAGACTCTGGGGTGGATAAGTAGGTCTTAATAGCAGATGAGTGACTGACTGATGCATGCTCTCCAATTAGGCCCCCTCACCCAGCAAAAAGCAGCAGCAGCAGCAGCACTTGACTGGACTCGGTCTATGTGGAAAACCTCAGGGTTCTTACCTTGTTGCCCAGGCTGGGTCTGAGATAGCAGGAACTGGGATACAGACTGTAAGTGGCCGGGAACCAGCACAAGCTGCTGGAGCGGATGGAGGGAAGCCATGTCCTGCACGTGGAGAGATACACATACATCACAGAATTTACAAGCTGGGGACATCAGCCCCATCTGCCTGCCACACATCTGTCCCGGGGTCTCCAGATTGGAGACTGTGCAGGCTGACCTTGCTTTATGCCACTGTGTATCCCCAGTGCCTAGCAAATAGTAGGTACTCCATTAATGCTGGTATTGTTACAGCTTCTGCCCTCAGCCTAGGAGTCCTTACGACATATCGTTACTTAACCCTTACCTCCTGAGTTAATTTTTATACGTGTTAGTCCTGTCTCCCAACTAGACTGTAAAATGCCCTGAAGGCAAAGCCTGGGTATGACCCATCTCTCAAAGTTTATCCTAGAGATAACATGCAATCCCCAACAGTCCAATTCTTTTTTAATCTCATGCCACTTGATTATGCTAAAAGCCATGCCTCGGCTGTTTCCTGGGCCTGAATCTTTCCTGGAGGGTGTCCGGGTGGGAGTTGTGAGGTGGAACAAGCTATTCATTCTTAATAAAACCCATTTAGTTAAACACAAAGTCCAGGGTTTCTCCTACCAGCCCAGGACATAGGACTAATAATTCCGATGCTTGGGGGATCGGGGAGTCCTCTGCAGTGGAGACCCCAGAGCTCTGTGCCCCATGGGGTTGAGCTTAGGTTTGTGCACAGAGAGAAGACCTGAGAAGCCTTGCTGAATGGAAGGTGTAGGGACGGATCCACATTCTTATGTGTTTCCAGAAAGGAGCGGTTCTTTCTCCCCCAGGTGATTCCTGCTGAGAAGAGGTCTCATCACATGAGCGCCCTCCCGGACCTTGGCTGTTACTAGCTCAGACGCCTCTTTCTTCCCCCACCAGCAATCCATTCTAGTTTGGCTCTAACATAAAACCTTAGGGGAGGCAGAGTGGACCCACTGGGGACAGAAATGTCCTCTAACCCAGCAGCAGCTGTCAACCTAGGATTCCCCTGGATGTGGCTGGCAGACACCAGCAGCACGGCTGTTAGGTCCTTGGCTTTGGCAAGCCTGGCTCCTTTTTGTCCCCGAGAAGGAGAGGCCTACTTCTTCACATCCCTAGCCAGCCTCCACCTGTAAGAGGACTGTTTTAGAACCCCACTCACAGCCTCCAAATCTCTTTCCCACATTGCCTGCAGGGGGTTCTTTAGACTGATATGGGTTCACCGAGTACCAAGCATGGAAGTTGAACATTTCCCAGAGGGATTGAGTTAAACACACTGGCCCACTGTGAATATCAGGGTTACCTGACATGGGCTGGCATTTACCCCAGACATTTGGTTTCCGGACATCATGGCAGGTCCTTGACTCAGGTGGCATGGCCGATGGGAGAGGGTCTGCTGCAGGGAGTCACTGAGATCTTCGGTTTTAATCTGCAAGTGGAAGCAAGAGGAGAGTGTCAGTGCTGGATCCCATCAGGCAGTCAGAGATGGAAACAGCAGGAAGATCCAGGCAGGAAAGGAGTGACCAGCCTAGAGGGGAGAAAGCTAGCCCAAGGCCTACTGGGCTGCAGCTTACTTTTCCTGCCTGTGTGTGCCCTTCCAGCCAGGGCAGCTGGGCAGTGGCCTCTGTGAGTGGCTCTGAAATGACAAAAACAATGACAGTGTAGTGACTTTCAAAAATAGGGCTCGATGTAGGAATTTGAGACCAGCCTGGGCAGCATAGCAAGACTTCATCTCTAAACTTAAAAAAAAAAAAAAAAAATTAGCCAGGCATGGTGTTACATGCCTATAGTCCCAGCTAGTTGGGAGGCTGAGATGGGAGGATCATTCGAGCCCAGGAGTTTGAGGCTGCAGTGAGCTATGATCATGCCACTGCACTCCAGCCTGGGTGACATAGTGAGACCCCGTCTCTTAAAAAAAAAAATGGATTAAATTCTTAGAAATTCTGAGATGATATTCTTTTTTTTCTTAGGAGGAAGAATGTTAAAATTTATTTAGGACAGGATAGTGATCCTAAACGGTATTCTTAAAACTCTTCACCTCACAGAGTAAAAAACTGGCAACCCTTTTCTGATCTCCCCCAAATTCTGTATTTTATTTAACTCAAGGGAATCTCATCTATGAAACCCCAAAGTCTGGGCACCACTGATCTGGAGGAGTCTCCCTTCCCATCTTGTTTGTCTCCACACCTCTCCATCGTCTGTGTCTGCCTCTGCAGCTGGCCCTCTTCACCTGTGTGACTTTGGTGACAGTCCTTGCCTGTCTTCCTACAGGTGAAGGCATGTCTCCCTCACAGCCAGTGCTGTAGTTACAGCCTGAGGGGCCCGTGGTGGTTTCCAAACTCTCTCCAGTCTCTACCACCCTGCAATGACAGCACTAACCGCCCACGCGTGGGCTTCCCAGGTGTCCCAGGGCAGGGCAGGAAGTGCTGCTTCTGCCCACTCCTCCTCCCATCCCAGGAAAACTACCCTCTTGCAGCTTTTCAGGAAGTCCCCTGGGAGGGTGTCCACGTGACTTTAAATTCATATAATGCGACGGGGGCCCAAGCTCTAGACCATACCTTGTAGAGATATTGGGAAGACACTCCTCAGCGGACATCTGGTTGTTCCCTATCCAGATAGAAACTCTTAGCCATAGAGATGCTGGCTTAAACCATTTCCTTGGTCTACACTGCGAATATCATTGACATCCTGGAATATCATCTGTTTGTGTTGTTTAACCTAAGTTAAGAGTTCAGACTAACAGCTAAACTTGTGCTTAATCCTTTCAGAAAAAAAAACGGTGCTTTGGATCACTAAAGAAAGAATTCCTTATAAACAGCTCTATTATAAAGACACATGCACATGTTATGTTCATCGCAACACTATTCACAATAGCAAAGACATGAAATCAACATAAATGCCCGTCGATGATAGATTGAGTAAAGAAAATGTGGTATATATACACCATGGAATACTATGCAGCCATAAAAAAGAATGAGATAATGTCCTTTGCAGGAACGTGGATGGAGCTAGAGGCCATTATCCTTAGCAAACTAATGCAGGAACAGAAAACCAGATACCACATGTTCTCGCTTACAAGTGTGAGCTAAATGATGAGAACACATGGATACATAGAGGGAAACAACACACACTGGGGCCTATTGGAGGGTAGAAGGTGAGAGGAGGGAGAAGATCAGGAAAAATAACTAATGGGTACTAAGCTTAATATGTGGGTGATGAAATAATCTGTACAACAAACTCCCATGATACAAGTTTACCTATATAACAAACCTGGACATATACCCCTGAACTTAAAATAAAAGTTAAATAAAATGAAAAAAGAATTCTCTTTAGTTGGACAATTAGGAAGATCCTACTGACATTAGAAACTGAGTAGGTAGCTAATGTCCTAAATATGGTGTCTTTCACATGGTGAAAACCCAATGAACATTAATTGAACAAAAGACATAAACAAAACCCATTTCTCTACAGCCTCCAATGAGGTACAGGGAAGAAAATGTTGAAGAGGCGCATTGAATGCTGACTTTGTTTCTAGCCCTAACTCTGACTCTAATTTACTATGTAATCTTCAGCCTCTATGGGACTCAGCCTCTATGGGACACAGTTTCCCCATCTACTGTATGATAGTTCAGGATTTTTCTCCCTATCTGTCAACAAATGGAATTACGAATTCCAATTCCCTAGTGCATTTGGTAGACCTGGCCTGTCGAGGTTGCTGCTGTGTTCTTAGATAAAGCAGATCTAAATAACACCAAGAAGCCCTGGTTGCACAGAAATTGGTAAGAAGATGGCTGTTTCAGGGACAGTCTTTGGAAATCGTTCCTCTCACTTAAGGAGACTATTATGGAACTTTGGAAGCAAAGAGAAGGAAGGGGGAGAGATGGGAAATAGCACTGTAGGGGCAGAGGGTTAGACATTCAGAAAACTCAAAACACATGGCTGCCTGGGCATTGTCTCTAAGAGCCCCACTTCTTTGCCCCATGCCCCTTCAGCTGTGCCCATCCACACTTGGCACCTCTAAGAAACTCTGGTGTCCTAGTTCTTCTCCCCAAAATTAGAGTTTCCACATCCTTAGATTCCAGGAAAACATGCGTTAGCAAGTTTTTAAAAACTAGAAATAGATGATAAACTACTTATTTCAAAATGACCACCACCACTACAACTGTAAGGTTTACTCTGAGAGGGGATTTTACTTAAGCCAGGCCTTTGTGGTCCCCACCTCTTCCCTGCATAACCTCCTCCTGCCCCCGGGCATCCGCCATCCCAGAGGGTACTGGGGAGGCAGGATGGAGGAAGGGGGACAGAGGGAGAACGTGGAGCACTGGAGGTAAAATCAAGCTGGTGGAACAGCCTCTGGCAGCTTGGCCCAGTTCCATCTCGGAGGCAAGTGGCAGGGCTCCTCTGTAGACTCATTATGCACAAGGGAGAGATAAGGAGAGGCAGCTATGACAGAGCTTGAAAACATGTGCTTTGCCTCCAACCTGGGCGCTATCTGTTAGAATCTGTGCCAGGTCTTCCTGCAACACTTAATTTCAGAAACCAGCGCCATCATAAAAGAAAACGCACCCTTTCATCTGCTTCCTGGATCAATTGCCCTTCAAACTCTTTGGGGGGCACTCCCGACCTCCCAGTTGTAAAAATGAAAGGTGTGATAGCAGAAAAGCCCTTTGGGTGTTAGTTTGGGGTTTTCTGACAATCCTCTGCATTATTTTTTTTTAATTTTTTTTTTTTTTTTTGAGACAGAGTCTCGCTCTGTTGCCCAGGCTAGAGTACAGTAGCATGATCTCGGCTCACTGCAACCTCCTCCTCCCGGGTTCACGCCATTGTCCTGCCTCAGCCTCCCAAGTAGCTGGGACTACAGACGCCCACCACCACACCCGGCTAATTTTTTGTATTTTTAGTTGAGGTGGGGTTTCACCATGTTAGCCAGGATAGTCTCGAACTCCTGACCTCGTGATCTGCCCACCTCGGCCTCCCAAAGTGCTGGGATTACAGGCATGAGCCACAACGCCTGGCCACATTATTATTTTCTGATTTGTTTGACTGACCTTTTACTCTTTTATAATTTTTATTTATTTATTTTTATTTATCTTCTTTACAGTTCCTTTGGATATGGAATATTTTATTTTTCATAATTCATTACCTTCTGGGTGTGAAGAGCTGATAGTAACCCCAAAAGAAGACAATCGTAAACAAACCAAATTGAAAGACAACAAAGGACACTGCTTTCTTGATGACAAGTTCTCAAATCTCAGCTTTGATCAGTGGTCTCTCTTAGCTGAGCTCAACAGGAAGGAGGAAGGGTACATTGACAATTCCCATGGCCTCCAACAGACATCTTTGACATTCTCAGGGATTCAGAAATGAAGAAAGTAAGAAATAAAGTCTTCTTGAATTTACAAAAATCCCTTTTTACAGCTGTTAAGGGGAAAAGGTTGGAACCTTTCCAGGCAACTGGGTGTTGGCTGTGGATCTGGAAGATGAGATAGAGAGACTTCTGTTGGATCCCATTGACTTCTAATGTGAGAACCGGAGGCAAATTGGACGAAAACCCAATTTCCCCCGTGCTTGTGAAAACCCAACCAAACCCACAGCCTGCCTGGAATCAAGAAGATCATCTCCAGGGTCTCTTTGGCAGTTCTTCTCACGCAAGTGGAGGGTTTCTCCAGACTTTACTTGGGATGGACACATCCCTGGAGACGCGGGCCACCACAGGGTGCTGTGCCCTGCCACAGCCACTAAGCAGCCTGTCCAGCTATCAGACAAGCTTTGTTGTTTAGGATCTTCTCCACCCACTGTGCTGTGCAAAGGTATTACACTGAGTCTTAGGCAGTGATCAGGGAGGTAAAAAGGTATTAGGGATGATTATCTTTTCTGATCCCAGTGAACTCTCTGACATCACTTAATTTAGAAAGCAGTAGTCTCATTCTGGAAGGAGAGAGCCCCTTCCAAGGAGGTGGAAGCCCTTTCTACAGCCCTCCTTGGCTTTACCATCATAGCCGGGAGGTGTGAGGAAAAGTGTTCACCCTTCCATCTCACAGCAGCTCAGAGAGCTTCAGAGATGGGTATAAACTCATATAGCAATATCCTGGCAAAACTCTGACAAGAGAGCGGTCTCCTGACCATCCTCTGGTGCTTTATCTACCAAAAATATTACACACATCCCAAGGGTAGGAGAGAGAATAGATCATCGGTGATGGAAAAGGTGGCGTTCTGGCCCAGACATACCCCGGGACCTCCTTACTGACCATCTGTTTTGGGTTCATGGGATGGGGCATGGTGGGGCTGGGGTACTCACCTTTAACCCCCTCCCCATGACATTTTCACGTGGCCCTCTCTGGGGGAAGACAGCTCAACACTAATGAATATATCACTGGTGATGAAAATGATCAAAGCTGTTGTCCCAGTTGCATAACTCGTTTGTGGAAAGTGTTTCATAAACATTTCACAAGAAGGAGCGTTTCAAAG